AGTGCCCTGGCTGGTGTGGCTCAGTGGATTGAGTGCCAGACTGTGAACCAAAGAGTCGCAGGTTCTATTCCCAGTCAGGGTACATGCCTGGGTTGTGAGTCGGGTCCCCAGTTGTGGGCACGGGAGAGGCAACCACACATCGATGTTTCCCTCCCTCTCTTTCTCCTTCCCTTCCCCTTTCTCTAAAAATAAATAAATAAAATCTTTTAAAAAATCATGGGTAAGTGAAAATGGATAGTGTTAAACCAATACAAAGAATAATTCCACGTTGAGAAATAAATATTCTCAGTTATAAAAGTTTGCTTTAAAGGACTCTGGGAAACATGAGTATGTGTCTGTCTTTGGTGCCCTCGGTGATTCCACAGGCCGGTGAGACATATATTGGCCCTGTTTGTTCTTTTCATTGATGTAGCATCAAATGATCCCAGGGAAGAAAAAACGAGCCTTTGGAATTCAGAGTGGAATAACCAACCACTCTGAACCATTCTGTTTCCTCCATACCTTGCCAATGTCCTCCCACCAGAATCCTGAGTCGTTTATAATCTAAATAAAGGACACAAACTAATCACAACAGCTTGAGGAAGGAGTAGTAAGGTAGCACCGGATCTTTGCGCCCAGACGGCCCTCAAAGGCAGTGGTGCTGTGAGGAGTTTAGGTGGGATAGGAAGAGTCTACTGAGGACTCCTGGAGAAGCCTCATCTTGGAAGAAATGCCTGACTTAACCTAGCGCGGTAAGAAGAGAGCACATTCAGTATATTAATATAAGTCTGATTTTTAAACTAAGGACTTTAAAGGCAAAAGGGATTTCTGTTGAGTTATAAAACATGGACTCATTAAAAGTAATATTCAGATAATGGGCGAAAGCAACATAGCTCTAGCATTTTATTTAAACTATATCAAACTTTGTAAAAATTGTTTAAAATGTTTTCCCAATAAAATAATTTCTGCAAAAGAGTTAGAGAGGTAGGTTATAGTATTAAATGCATTCAAATATAAATATGTGTTTAGAAAAGCAAGGCTACCTATTATATCTAATGTTTCTGGTTAGTTTTACCTTTGCCTGTTATGTATATTAACAGCGACCAGAAGCCAATACTGAGTAAATACAGGGTGCAGCAAAAGTAGGTTAACAGTTTCTCATATGGAAAATAAGACAATAATTAATACATGATAATAATATAAGAAAAAACATGGTTTCATGTATTCATAACTATAAACCTCTTTTGGCTATACCCTCTCTATAACTATAAAACACTTTGGAGGAAAAATTTGCAGCTGTCTAACTCCCAAAACATATACTTTTTTCCATTTATTACAAAGATTTCTCAAAATTAACAGACAGTAATGATAGTAATAGAACCCTATAAAATATTTAATATGCTGAATTAGAAATAGGTGTGGGTAGGATAGAGGACAGAACAAAGCCTTTATTTTAGATGCTGAGATAGAGTGAGAGTCTAGAGTAGGGTTAGTACAGCAAAGTTAATTTTGTGCTTTCTCTTTTCATCTTCAAGGGGACTAGTGCATGTACCTTCTCATACCTCACTAAACACTAACTTGCATATAATATGCCACATGTTCAGCAGTTCATGAAAAACTGAATCCATGCCATTTCTTCAGAAACAAAATTAATAAAGCCTGTCTTCATAATATTTAGTTTTGATTGCTTAGTCTCAGTCTGGAGGCAAAGTTGCAAACGATTCAGAAGCAAGTGTCTCAGAAAAGACCAAATCCAATTTGCATTCTCTAATTACAGGCTCGACGCTCTCAGCGATTTTGTTTGAAAAAGCCTCCTCACACGCCCTTTTATTCTTTTGCCACAGAAAACAAAGGTCAAGACGAACTCAACTACTGCCTATTAATTAAAGAAGCAAAGGTAACATTCTGTCCTAAGTCATTGTTATTTTCATCTGATACTACTTTACACTGGTGATTAATTCTACCCTGACAAGTAAATAAGTAAATAACATGTGACAAAGAAACTCAAGTTTCATAGAAAGAACAACCAAAACATAAATACAGTTGAAACCAGCACAGTTGTCCCAAGAACTGTTTTGCTATTTTTTTCCTTGAAAAGACAATGATAACAGATTTGGAGAAATATAAAGTTCATAATAATCTATCATCCATATTCCCATCACCTCAACACAAACATTCTTGTTTTGCTAACTACTGCCGGTATTTTATACAACAGACAACACGAGGTATTGTTGAGCACTCCTGTATTAACTCATTTACTCATCAATGTATTCATCTATATTATTATTCATCTATATCACTATTACTCATATATAGTTATCATTTTATAGATGGAGAAACTGAGGCACCCAATGAAGTTGGATGATTTAGCATAGGTCACACAGCTACTAGATGGCAAGGCAGTGTTCTAACCAAAGAGTCTGGCTCCACCACAGACATAGTCATAAGCAAATATGACTCTCAAATACTTACATAACTCCATATTTATTGTACAGGTTAGTTTATATTCTTCTATATTTATTCAACCTGCAATAACCATTTTCTTAGTGGACACAGTTTAATCCTCTCGACTGTCATTGCAGTGGCTATATGAGAGTTGCATGCATACCATCAGCTGGACTTGGGACATTTCTTATATTTGCTCCAATACAGAGAATAAAAGAGTGCTGAGAGTGTGCATATATACACACTTAAAACAATATGCTTGAACAAAGTACTTGGGACAACATCCTCCATGGAATTAGTAGTATCAATAGTATAAGTAGTGTGTCTTTTATTGTTCTCTTCACACTGACATTTTAAAAGGCTCTGCCAATTTAGCATGATATGCAGAAGAACAGGTGAACCAGTCTCAGAGAAACTAGCACTGGATGGCCTGCATGTCATAACGTTTGCTCCATGAGAGGATATGAACTATCATGCAAAGTGCTTTAATTTGCATGTTTTTGATCTTTTGCCTAACACCTGGAGGACACAATTTCCTTGGAGCCCTCTCAAGTGTTTTTTGTTTGTTTTTTCTCTAACATCCTTTCTCCCACTGGAGCTGTGAGTGGGAATCCCTCCTTGCTCTTTACTCCATATGGTTTCCCTCCTACCTAAAATCTCCAACCTAGAATTTCATGTCATAAAATTTTATAACCAATGAATCTTCATTTTCTTCATTGTCTATAGACCTCTGGTATCATTCCTCCGATTTCTGCACAAACACCTTCTGGATCAGCTGCTTTTTCCAATATTACTCCTGTTTCAATTCTGTCTATTTCAATATGTATTTGGATGGTTGTTTCAATGCCTTGTCTTATCAGTCCCTTGAACTCCCCATTGTTGTCAGACCCTCCTGGTAACCTCGGTAGCGGCACAGCCATCTTTCCCAATCATGAAAGCTCAACATGTAGGCTTCATTTTATGGATCCCTTTCTGGCACCTTTGTGTGTCACCTTGATAGAGAATATTCCCTTCTGCCTTTGCAAACACTCACGGTAACCCCCCCTCTCTATTTCCCTAACAGTGCTTGGGTGACCTTCCTCATTTTCCTCTTGATATAGGGATTTCAAATCCACATTGCTCTTTTCCTGCCTCCAGTTTCTCTCCTTTGTAATCTTATTTCACTTACCTTTGCTAAAATGCCTGTTCTGAAACACCATAGGATCCTAGCATGTCTGCTAAAAAGAAACTATGAAGGAGTTCATACCGAGTTAAGTTCCAAATATTTAAAAAATATTTATTTTTTAAAGCCTCCAAAATCTTGACCCCTTCCATTCTTCTCTACCAACATCCTTACCCGTACATTTTTCTTTTCTAGATACGTGGGTCTGATCAATCACATTCTGAAATTCTTTCTCCTAAACATCAAGCCTATCATTGTGCTTTGGCTTTATAAACGTAATTCCCCCAAAAGGAATCTCCACATTCTCTACCCACAGCAGTTTGCAGATACCTCTTTCATAGATGCCTCTGTTACACTCTCACATATATTAGGCTCAGATACTGACCCTAATAATTTTATTAGTATTAGTTTCTTGGTTTTCTTGATTATTTTCAACAAGAAATTGAACTATTAGATGACAGGAACCATGTCTCATTTTTTTCTTGTAGTACCTGAATACTTAGTGCATTTATACGTTTATAAGGAACATGAAGTGTATTTTTAAATGGCTGAATTAAATCTGACTACCACTACCCAAGTAGGCTTGGATACATTGGCAGTATATGAGTGTTTATTCCTAAAACTTGTGCACATTCTATTTATATATGAAATTGAGGCAGTGTTCAGAATGATCCTGGCTCACCCTGCTTCTTATTGTCAGTATTGTAAAAAAGAGTGGATTATAAGAACAACAAATAACATGCTACAAGAAGCATTCCAATTTTCCAGTGAGAACTGAGTCATGTAAGAGAGACCATATAGATTTCACAAATAATATAATGCAACCCTTAAGAGTATTGGATTGCAAGACATGAAGAAACACGAGCCACAGACGTAGTGAAATACTTCAGAAATATTTCTGCTCCTCTAAAAACAAAGCCTTAACAAGATACCAACTTTGAGATCCCGTGAGGCATTTACAGCTAAAGTTTAGACACAGTGGGGCCATCAGCAAATTCATTCCGAGTCAACCTTATGTTGCAAAAGCTTTAAAGAACAGATAAATTACCATGTGTTTTGCATGGGTAAGTTTTTTCCCAGAGTTCCTCATTTTTATATAGGAAATCAATTTGCATCACTGATGATTTCATTCAAACCAGACAACCCAAAGTTGTTAAGAGGTAATTTAGTTTTACGTTGAAGCCATTTGGTACTTGTTCTAATTTGTGATTTTCATTTTGTTTGTTAATGAAAAAAATTAATGAGCAATGTTACTAGAAATACAAGTCATGAAAGCCTTGGCATTATTACAGAGGTTTGCCATGTACTGTACTTTGTAACCATTGTGCCTTGGGTGCCTGGACCGCCACCTGGGAGGAGCTAGCAACTGAACAGCACAGGCCAGAGCTAAAGGTACAGATGCCCCCACACATACCTTTGCACTGATTTGTGTTTTTGTCAAGAATTGCCTTTGTAGATACAATTTTTCCATACCTGAAAGAGAGAGAGAGAAAAAAAAGTTATCATAGCCCATGAAGACACTTAAAACACCATAACAAACATGGCCAAACACACAGTTGAGCAGGAAGAAACCAAGAAAACAAGCTCGGTACCCCCATTTCACACTGGGGTGATCTCTTTTCACCAGTTCTTCGCCGTAAGTTGAGAACGTGCTTCCCTACAGAATCACGGGGTTGAACCTTCAAAAATGAACCTGTCGGGCTGTCACAGGTGGCTGAAAGAGGATCGTGTGTGGCTGTGATCAAAGTAAATCATGCGCTGTGGATGCGTGGAAAACAGCAAGGGCCTCGGTGCCAGGCTGGACAGGGCTGGCGTCCAGCTCTGGCGCTGACCTAGTGCGGCAGCCCCGCGCAGTTTCACGCAACCTCTCCAAGGAAGGATTTTCGTCTGTATTATGAGAATCATAATAATGACCTTTCTGGATTTGGGAGAGTGTTCCACGGAAACATCAGGGTTTTCTATCAGTGCTCCTCAGGTAAGTAGAAATAAATAGATATATTCAGTTAGTGACTTTATTATTAAATATATATTATGCTATAAATTAATTGAGGAGAAGGACTGAGTTTTTGTATTTTCAATGTCTGCCATCGAAGGTAATAGAAGTTTAATAAATGCTCGCTGTAAGTAAATAAATTATCCAATGGTACTTCATCTAAAACAAAGTGCCTACCATAAATATCTCTATACATCATTAATATAGTCATTATTGTGTCATTTCTTGCAGACGACCTATTCTGGACTTTGTTTTTAACATATGACTAATATGGAGACTAAAACTCAATGTCTTTGAGCCCGTTTCCTGAGACATAACTGTTGGGACTGAAGAAGCTGATTTCCTAACACCCTGGTCTTCTTTAGGTTCCACAAAGGGTGCGTCTGAATCAACATAATAATGTGGAGAAGTTATAATGCAAATTTAAGTACCAAGTTAATAGTAACTCACATCTGTTCAAGATTTCGGCCACTGTCACAAAATATTTGGCAAGTTTTCTTTTAAAGCTGTGTTCCTAAATGTAAAAATATGTGGAAAATATTAAACTTTCCACATATGAATGAACTGAGTTTCCTATCACCAATGGTTGTTTTTTCTTTGCATTTGTAATCACGTTTTATGATTTCATTAATTCTTTAAAGCATTTTGATGGTCATTTTCTAAAATTCTAATGTTGATAATGCAATAGTGCTAGAAATCCCTTTGCCTCCTAAGTTTCACTTTTAATTTTTTTAAAGATTTTATTTTTATTTATTTTTAGAGAGGGAAGGGAGGGAGAAAGAGAGAGAGAGAGAAACATCAATGTGCAGTTGCTGGGGGTCATGGCCTGCAACCCAGGCACGTACCCTGACTGGGAATCGAACCTGCGACACTTCGGTTCGCAGCCCGAGCTCAATCCACTGAGCTATGCCGGCCAGGGCTCCTTTGCCTCTTAATTTTTAGATAACTTTTGACTAAAGATAAACTGAGGGTCCTCTAGAAATGGATGGCTTGCATGTCATCACAAAAGTGATGTACCTATAGCCTTGGGCCAACAGGAGCTGAGCTATTGATAGGTTACAATAAAAAGAGGAATATTTTTATGAAATCTGATACAAGGGTCTGAGATAATTCCCACCAGTCACCTACAAGCTCCTGCCTTGTTAAAATCAGCCAGAACTTGGATGGAGTTTCCCAATAATGAATTGAGTGTATTTTGCAGAATCACCCTGATGTTTCAGCTACATACATACTTGCATGCCTGGTACCACTGCCTTCTCTCAACCTTTCTGACTCTATTCCTACAGCTAACTAAATCAAAGATTTCCAGGGATGGAAGTATTTATGCTCTTTTTCAAATGTAGAAAGTATGGCCGAAAAGATGGGTAACTTGATCAAAATCACACAATTTATGAAAGTTACATCAGAAGCTTGGATATGAAATTCTTAAATTTGGTACAGTGCCTACCTACAACATCATGCTGCCTCTCAAATAAAGAAGGTGCCTGTACCAAATCTTCCAGTTCAATCAGCCTCCATGTCTCTGGGAACCCAGGTATTAGGCTCCAGGGCAATACAGTGCAGCAGTTGAAAGAATATAGTGTCACGACAATCTGCTGTCACTCATATCTCAGTTCAGCCACGATACATTTGATTGGCTAAATCCTATGTGTTCTTTATATTATTCCATCATCTATAATAAAGTAAATCTATTTCTTAGGTATTGACTTATATTATTTATTAAAATTTATACACACCTATTTAAATAAATAAAATGAGTATACTAATCTCTACTTCACAGGGTTGTTGTAAAGATTAAATGGGTTTTATTAGAAATGCTGATAACAGTGGCTGGCATAGAATCGGTACGCATCACATATCAGTTCTTCTTGCCGAGAGTCTCTGCTTAATAAAAACGTCTCCAGTCTTTGTCGCTCTCTAAGGTGGACAAAAGGTGAATAAGGGTAAAATTTCTGTCCCAAGTGGTAGCTTAAAACATTACTACTTAGACGGTCAAATCTTCCGCTAAAAATTTTGGTGGATAAAGACATTTGTTGAAAGGATCATTTGCATTTACAGTTTATATTGTTATTTTCAATGTTAGAGATTTCACTGTTCTTCATCACAGAAGTATCCATAGGTTCAAAGCTTTGTTGAGGGTTAGGACGACTGAAATGTCTACCCCCTCAGCTACATGCAAACCCACTTTCCCCAAATGTCCTCACCCCCCCACCACTTACACACCCCCAAAACACACACATCCTCTTTTTCCATCTCTATTTCATCCCAAGTGTTTCTCTTTTAGAAAAATAACCAGTAAAATAATATCTTGTTTGAACAGTTTTTTTAGTTGACAATGATTCAAGGTACCTATAATCATACCCATTAACTCACATAATGTTTGCTAGATTTTGGCTACTCAGACAAGTAAACATTTGCAAAATTATATTATAGGAGATGACAAAAAGGGAGGACAAAGGCAACATTTACTGAAACTTTTTACGCCACACAAAGTACCGTTAATATAGTATGGGGGAACTACAAACTAGAATAAGAAAAATAATTTAGAACATTTATAACCATCTCACATCAAACACACACACTCTTAAGACAAAAATCTTCCTTAATTGGTTACTAAAGATATTCTGGAATTTTTTGTACAAGTACCTTCTAAATTAAAATCTAGCCCTGCTTTTTAAAGAAGAAATTAAAAATTACTATATCTCATAATGAATTGCATCTCACAATGAAATTTTAAACTTATGGTGGGCACATTGTCCTACTGTGGCATTATTACAGAGATATCTTCTCCTTCATTCACTGTAGTATAAGTAAAAAATGGCTATAATTTCTTTTAAGATTTTATTTATTTATTTTTAGAGAGGGAAGGGAGAAAGAGAGAGAGAGAAACATCAATGTGCGGTTGCTGGGGGCGTGGCCTGAAACCCAGGCATGTTCCCTGACTGGGAATCGAACCTGCGATACTTTGGTTTTCAGGCCTGCACTCAATCCACTGAGCTATGCCGGCCAGGGCTTATAATTTCTTTTTTTTTAAAAGAGTTCATTTATTTATCTACTTTTAGAGAGAGGGGAAGGGAAGGAGAAAGAGATGGAGAGAAACATCAATGTGCGGTTGCCTCTCACATGCCCCCTACTGGGGACCTGGCCCACAACCCAGGCATGTGCTCTGACTGGGAATTGAACCGGCGACCCTTTGGTTCATAGGCCTGCACTTAGTCTACTGAACTACACCAGCCAGCGTGGTTATAATTTCTTTAGAGCCAAAAAAAAAATGAAATGCTTTCTTATGGAAGGCATTTGCAAATATTTAAGCAAGTAACTTTTCTTTCTTAAAAGACAATTATTTCCCAGAAAGTATTACAGTACTACTAAAAATTGGAAAAACACACAAACACATACACGTGTGCATGCCAAAAAGCAAATTATGCTACTTCTTGATTTTCCGATTCCTAATTACACTCTAGGCAAGACTTTCCAATAGGACAGAATGAGAAAACAGTGGGGCACAACTCGCCGTCCTTGCCTGACTTTCTGAAGGTGCAGGGATTCTACTCCTGGGCTCCGTTACAACAACCTGCACTACCAATGATGTCGCAAAGCTAGAATACACTTTAAACAACAAAAGGAGGTGTTTAATGGGCCACTGGTTCCAATTCATATCTGAACTCTCTCTGGACAAACAGGTCCTTTCTGCATGACTGGTGCCGTGTTCTCCGTGCTCTGCAAAGTCAACAGCTGATGGAGGTCAATAAAGTTCAGACTTTTTTATAGCCCAAAACTCGATAAACACAAAACCACCGATATAACATCCCTGGGAAGAATGACAGCCATTCTCTCTTCCTGAGGTTTTGTCAAAGTCTACTAATAGGCTAGAGTAAAAACTTCCATACAAAGATACATTTTCACACACTCCAAAGAAAAAAATACATATTTCTGAGGTAAAACGTGTTACTAGATGTAGTTATTTCATTTATTTAGTCTTCTCTTTCATAGGGTTTAGGTTAAAATCATAAGAATTCATAAAGGGTTTTTTTTTTGATGCCACCCGTGAGTAGAAAGCAAATCTGATATAGGAAAAATATGTGACCAAATTAATGAAAGATGCCTGGACAAAACACCTGAGCTTTGGTCCCAATGCCTGCTGGCTCCAGGAGCTCCCAGACAAACCCAATTATGTTTCCGTGCTTTTATTTCCTACAGCTAGAAGAGATACAGTATTACCAACAGTCAACTTCCTGGGGAGTTCAACTTCTCGGGAGAAACAAATAAAAGAAGTGAACACATTTTATACCATAAGTCTTTCCATCTGGGTGTTTAGTACCTTCTGCAGCCAATTTTAGAAGCACCTAGCACAGACTTGCTAGGACACTTTTCAATCTTAAAGTATGTACCTTTGCATCTTATCTACATATTCACCAACTGTCCTCAGTGCCCATACAGTTTCCAAACGTGACCAAGTCCCAAATAATATTTTATTTAA